TGACAGATTCTTCAAACTGAGACAATCGGTAAAAGTGGTAATTGACATAGTAAGGACAAATGCACAACTCCCAGAGTTGATCAGCCCGAAGAACGCAGCAGGCTGTACTGGGAGAAGCCGAGTGCATTATGTGACCTGCCGTCTCCATGATAAAAAAATAATAGTTAGCCAAGACCCAGTGGATATTTGTTTATTTTAGGTCATTGGGACTTAAGGGTTAGGTGAAGGATATATATAGACACAGCAACATTCAATGTTTGTGGCAAAATGCTAATTTACAACACTTGTTGACATATACAGGGTCAGGGACAGTTTCAGACTATGATACTGCCAGATCCCACACTGCCAGACGTAGCCACCAAACTCAGCAGATTGAGGCTGATGGCTCAAATGATGGCTCAGAAGAGCCAACACCAGGACCAAGCCCTCAGGAAAAGTCCAATAAAGGTAGGTGTTCACCACAGTGAATTGCTTGTCCATGTAGGCAATATCTGCCAATGAAGCCAAACCCTGTTGGCATAAAGAACTTTGTGCCACAGCAGATGGCATTGTGCTGGACTTTGATCTGTATCAAGGTCGAGATGCACTGCTTGATCAGGTGGAAGAAACAGAGGGTCTTGTAGTATCAGGTGATATCCTGTGGGGGAGGAACCTTGGTGGAAAGGTTAAGTGCGGGAGTGAGGGGGAGAAAAATAAAGTGAACACCAGAGAACAGCACTGAGCGCACGGTCGTCTGTATTATTGAACCCAGCTACATCGATATAAATATATAACAAGACTCGAACATGGTGTCAGAAGTGATTCACATTTAATATTTGTCTGGCAGAATTGAAATAAGTGTTTTACAAAGCAAACAGATTGTTGTATTTAATAAGTGTAACTTTATGATTTTGTGTGATTGCAATTAAATCTACAATAAATAGCTGTCAGTTTCAGACAAATGGTAAAATTTGTGATTTTTAACCAAAATGCAATGTAAGTCAAGATGGTACACAAAATGAGGAAACCGTGGTGATATAAAACTCCTTACTTTTGCTTCGAGGGTATTTTCAGAATCACTATTGAGCCACAATTCGCTTATAAAAAGTCAATGAGAGTGTTGAAAAATTATTCAGTGTTCACATTCCTAAGTACAAACACCGTGTAACCTTAACTAAACAGTTCACATGAATCATTGTAAACTTTATTGTAAATAAAGCGCTTTGTGTCTAGTTCGCTAGCTGTTAGGAGCCTATCATAATGTTAGTGGGCTAAGTCAGCCTCTACCTCGTTTAAAAA